AAAGTCCCTAAAAGTATACTCTATGGCTAACGTGCTAGAGTACTCCTATAACGCAATTCTAAGCCCAATTTAAAGAAGCTTAATAAGCTAGAAGAGGAGGTAATTACTAGGTATATTCTTAACCTAGATTCGCGAGGGTTTTTGCCAACCCTAGGTGCTGTTTAAGATATGGTAAATAGACTACTATTAGACCTCCCCCACTATGGACTAGGCGGCTAACTCTAAGGTCATGTGACTTAGACTATATAGCACTAGGAGCTGGCGGGTAGAGCCCATTAGTAATTCGTCTATCCTATACCTAAATACTACTATCTCTCTACTATTGAAGTTAAGGCTACACTATTCACCCCATACCTCTAACAGCAGTATTAATTATAGCAATCACTATAACCTATCCACGGTTGCCAGGCTGGATAGCCTTTGGCCTGCCTCTCCGCTCTGATCCTATTATGATGAGTTGAGTTATAATCTTGCCCATTATAAAGCCAGTCTTGTTAAAGTTATAGAAATCGTTATTATAGATACCATACTTAGTCTTTATCTACTCTACGAGCTCAAACCAGCTTCTAATTAATATTGGATCCTTACACAGGGCTCTCTACCTATTATAGGCTTAATTGAAATGCATTGTGAGACTATCCGTGCGCTTAACAAAGTTGCGCGGCTAGTAGACACCAACCTAACCAGCGCCGCGCGTAGCCAGCAGTTTATCAGCCATATTACATATAGCCGCGTACGTAGGCGCAAATCCACGTTAATCCAGGTCAAGTATATATCTAACAATCACCTCCTCTTCTAGCTCAGTGAGCTTCTTTGAGTTGGGCTGGCAATTGCGTCGGGTAGGCTTCCCAGCGCGTCGGCGGCGGAGCGTTGTTTTGGGTACATTATAGACTGCAGCAGCAGGTCGATTGCCTTGAATCTGTTTTGCATTGATAGATAAGATAGCAAGCTGAATATCTGCTTCATTTGAAGGTAATTGAGCATTGTTGTGTGGAGCCATTGTAGGTTAAGATGAGATAGGTGCGCAAAGTTGGTGGGGTGCGCCGCTCGCTTGTACGCGCCGCTCGCTTGTAAAACACGTTAATGCACGTTATTCTGACTTATCATAGAGTGCGACCTGTCTAGATGTGTACCGTCACGAAGTGCAGGGAGTAAGATCACTCGTAGCGATTACCTCTCAACACCGATTTACAATATACCCACCTTAGGTAGTTTGTTTACCTTGCAAGGCACTCTCGCCCCTCGTCCGTGGCCCCCATTGTCCCATCTTTGTAACGTTAAGTCGCGTCACTCTATGCGACCCCGCGTACGACCCAATATTGGCTCAGCCCCCTCCTTCGGCCCGTTAATGCAGCTTACTTTCACGGAATCCACCAACACAGCCCACTCAAACACCTGGCAACAACAGAAACTGCGACAGTGCGGGGCTTCTGCGACGAATTCGCGCGAATCATAGCGGAGCAAAAATATCAGGCTGAATACAGCATACGTTTGGGTTTCACTAGGACCAATGCGGTAAATATTGCGATTGTTGTTGCGTAAGTGACCGATTCTACTAGAACCATCGTACTTCTCACGTTGCGACACATTTGCATCTTTTCAAGTCCAATCTCATCACCAAAAATCCAGGAATTCAACCAATTTCACCATGGAATCCACCATCCCGAATGAGCGCAGGCTGCGCCAGATCACCGTCGCAACTCTTCTCCCCGCGTTTCCCCTCATCGTAGCCTCGGGCGCAATGTACAACTACATGTATGGCTGGAACCTGACCGTCATCTACTTCGGCCTGATCCCGACCTTCTTCTCAGCGATCACATCGGTGATCGCACTGAAGGCCAAGCACGACCCGTTGGCCAAGCGTGCCCCTTGGGTCACAGGTCTATGGGTGTTGAATGATCTCTTCCTGGCGCTGGCGAACTTGGCCATCCTGATTCCAGTGTGGATTACCGACCCGGTGTTAATGAGATGCCATGCGAATTGGATGATGCTGGAGACGTACGCGACGGTGTTCTTGATGTCAAACATGTAAGTGCCTTTCATCACCGTGTAAGCCATCAGCTAACATCGCTAGGTTCATCCACGCGTATCTCGCTTTGTATCCGTTTAAGTCGTTCTCTTTTAAGTTTCAAGGGAAGGAGTGCCCGCACTGCCACGGCAAGCTTGGGACTAGCGTGGAGTCTATTGGTACGAAACGCGAAGGATACAGCCTTCTCCGTTCAGAGAACTATTTGGATGAGCAGGAGGCCGAGGCTAGCACCGGTGCTATAAGACTTTCTACCGACTCGGATGCCTAGATGTTATAACAAGGACTCAACAAGTGGATGTGGTCATGAAACAGAACCTAGTGCTGCTGAATTTTGAGGCTGGACCGCGAACAAGAGGTAACTGGGTGAGTGAAATACGGGCTGTATGCCCGATGACGGAGCATCTCGTAAGCTTACGAAAAGACCATGAGATAGTAGAAAACGTGTGTTCCATTTAGATGATTTAGATGACTCTCCGTTTGTTGATGTGCGCTCTCGTTCTGACCAAGTTGTGGCCGCACCGTGGATGGTACTTGATTCGTATTCGAAATAGCTTCATTAGAATGATAAACTATCATCTACATTGAGGAACCTTTCTTAGTACACGAGGATTTTTATGTAAATAGGGAGGCGTATAAGTTAGCTAAGTTCATAAAACCTAGGAAGATGTTATAACGAGTTACACGTTGCTATTACCTACGAATCGGCCTGGGGCCGGGCCTAGGCCTCCTTCGGACGAATGTTAAGTGGCTAGTTAGACTATAAGACTTAGACGATTTATAATAGTTCCCTAGGTAACTAAGGAATACTTACGGAGGGGTACTAGTAGATAATACCCTATCTAACTATATTAATAAAAAGTATATAGACTAAACTAGTGTTAGAGGTATAGGGTGAATAGTGTAGCCTTAACTTTAATAGTAGAGAGATAGTAGCATTTAGGTATAGAATAGACGAATCGCTAATAGGCTCTACCTACTAGCTCCTAGTGCTATATAGTCTAAGTCACAT